CCCCTTGAGTTTTTTCTATATAACTTAACTGTGTAAAACGTTCACCTGCCCAACGCGGCCGCGGCAACCCTAAAATAAGGTTTATCAACCCACGGTCAATTGTACCTGCCTCTGACGGCCAGGCGTGGTCACTCATTACCTGACGTTTTGTCAAAAATTTTGAATCGACCCCTGACACTGTGGATGGGCCGTCATAATTCATTCACCTGTCGTTATTGTCAGTCCCTCCAATGACTGTTTACCCAAGTTGACCAATGGGTAGGCCTAACAATAAATTTTCAACTGCTGTGAGGGAAGCGAAGTGTGATCCGTCATAACCTATAGATCTAAGCCCCGCCCACAACTCATGCACAAATCGTGTGTGAGGTGATTGGTCACTGTTTTGTTTACCTAATCTGCATACTGACTTGCAAACAGTATAATAAGTTATTGCAACAGTACTAGATCTAGATTCTAGCAAGAGGGGAAAAAAGGGGAAATGAATAACAATGGTTAGGTCTATTTGATGATATATGATCTTTTTTTAAAAAGCTTTTTTACGTACCTGTGTTGTTGTTGTTGTCGTTGTTGTTGTCGTCGTTGTTGTTGTTGTTGTTGTTGTTATTGTTGTTATTGTTGTTGTTGTTGTTGTTGTTGTTGCTGTTGTGTGTGTATGTGTGTGGTAGCCTATCCGTTCGAAATGTTTGGAGCCCCGAAGAGCGTGCTCCTCGCCTGGGCCACCGCCTCCCTTTCACATGTTGTTGTTGTTGCTGCTGTTGCTGCTGCTGAAAATGATGATGATGATGATGATGATGATGATGATGATGACGATGATGATGATGATGATGATGATGATGATGATGATGATGATGATGATGGTGATGTCGTCGTTGTTGTCAGGTGCCCAAAATGTGGGAGGCGGCCGCATACCCGTCCCTCAAACCGCTGGCCTCGTGGGTGAAAGATCTGATCCTGAGATGCGCCTTCGTCCACAGCTGGATACTGTTTGGTCCGCCAAAGTCCTTCTGGCTCTCGGGCTTTTTCTTCCCACAAGGTCAGTTTTAGTAAAAGTTTTACGGTGCTCGCAACACAATAAGGTCATATAAATATAAGTGCCGAAGATTAGAGGTGTTACAAGAGAGTTTTAGTTTTAGTTAGAGTTTTACGGCACTTGCTACCCAATAAGGTCATAATATGTGCCGAATATTAGAGGTGTTACAAGAGAGTAACAAACACAAAAGAGATAAAGACGATAGATGTTTGATAGGAAAGAAGAAGCAAACCACACCAGAGCACCCGCCAACCACCTACCCACAAGGTTAGTTAGTTTAGTTATAGCAAGGTTTTACGGCGCTCGCAACCGCATTAGGTCATATGAGCGCCAACCTCAAGGTTAGTTGGGGTGTGAGCGTGAGTTCTGTGTTGGTAGAAGTTAAGTATAATCACCCCCCCCCCCT